GGGGTGGGGGGGTGGGTGTGTCAACCAAAGTAGATTGAGTGCTTTCAAGAGTCAAGTTGGCAAAAATATCTATTTTCTTCCTACATTTAATTCAGTTCTGGTCCTTTTATCTGACAAGGCCTGGCTTCTTCAGTTCTGGAAGAGGGGCTTGAAGTGTGCCTGAGAAAGGAGTCCTTGCACATGCCAACTTTGACACATCAATGTGGTTTTTTCCACCTGTGTGACAACCTGTCCAAAGCTGGCTGATTTAAAAAAGCCTTGCACCCTCCATTTGCAACTGCCCAGTATCCACTGAAAGCAGAGCAACTACAAGTGGAAGAGTCATTCCTTGCTGAGTACATTTTGAGATAAATAAAGACATTATTTCTGCAAACAGGCTGTACACAGCCCCACTCCCAAGAGCAATTTGTTTGAAAAGGGTGTAGATGGCAAACACAGCAAGATGAAGAACCATCAGGCTGGGCAAGGAGGACGGGAACTTGATGGACAAGAAATGGGAACCCGCGCCCAAAGCAAGGGCTGGAGGAACTCATGCCCACCTTTCCCAGAAAGCTGTTATTTCAAGATATGCCCAAGACATGATTGAGTAGCACAAGAGACTTATGTAACAAGACTTATCCCTAGGGTATTGCTCTCCCATCTTAGGACTCATGCCTTGTTTCTTACGGCAGACAGAAGATGACTGGGGGAAGGGAGGGAGAGAGAGCAGAGGTTAAAGGGGATGGAAAGTAAGCAAAATCAGTCTAAGGCTGCATGCCTGGCAGCAGTGCTTCTTAAATGGCTTCTAAATTTGCTTCAGGCAGTTCCCACCCTCCCAGACACAAAACCCGTAGGTTCCATTTATGCCAATGCTACTGCTCATGCAGCCAGACAATAAACCTTATCAAAGAACTGATCTAGCTGATGCAGCTTTTGCCTCACCACAGCAGCATCATTAAACAGCAAGAACTGGCACTTTATATTGATCTCCCTGATCCATCACACCATTCCCTGAAGTAGCAGAACTGTCTGAGGATGGAAGCAAGCAATGGTAAAAGAAGGTGCTAGAACTGAGGGGAAGAAGCAAAATACTGAGAAAGCCAATTTATTCCTTTGCCTAATGTGAAACTGTGCAAAATGTTCAAGCCAAGCTCTTCACAGAGTAACTGCACACTACTCATTTGATTGTAGTCGCAATTCTGTCTTGATGCTGAAGAAATACCTCTGCAATCAAAACCAATCAGAACTCTGTATTAAGCATATCAACAGCTGTGTACATACTTTAGACACCAGGCACTCAAAATGGAGAGACTGTTTCCATATGTCTTTGACACCTCTAAAGTTTGCCCACTGATAATGCAATGGCAACACTCCCTTTTCCCTAAATTGTTGAAGTTTGCTGTGAAACTGGATTCATACTTTTTTTTATGAAGCACTCCAGTAAGAGTGCAGGATATACCAAAACCACAAGATTCTCTTCCTTCAGAACAGGGTTCATCTATTATGTAGCACTTATGTCAGCTGCCTAACAATACTAACGACCTGCAGATGTAAAGTGAGCCCCTTCCTGAGCTACTAAGTCAGCTCTGGCTTTGTGAAGAACACAGGCAGATGAGACAATGCAATTAAAGACTTGAAACATTCATGCCCAGGAATGAATTAGAACAGTAAAGTCACCTTAGTTCTTACATTCCCTAACTTTTAATTATGTGGCTCTGGGATCTTTGTACGGTCAATTCAAAGCAACAAACAAGGAGTGCTGTGTAGGGAACTGGCTGTGTAACACAACACCGTAATTCGCCATCAAAAGGCATTTGTGCTGTTCTGGGGAATTACTGGTGCTATGCAAGAACCTGAACCTTAAGCTTACCAATTTAGATAAGAGCTCAATTCTTCCAAAGGCTGAAGCATATGTTCCAGTGTGTACTGAATAGAGCCTAATCTTGCAGTCTGATGCAGTTACAGTAGAGCTTTTTTTTGCATTATGTTTCCTTAAGATCCAAGCAACAATGCCAAAAAAATCCACTGAAGTCAGAGAGCTTTCTCATTCCCTTCATCTATTCCTCAGCTCTGTCTTCAGCTTGAACAGATGGCAGCTCCAAGCAGGGATTCCAGGAGGCTTCAATACATAACAGTGTCTGCCATTTCAGTTTAAGCCTCCCTGTTGTTTAAATCCAAATTTACAGCTTGGTCATTGTGCTAGTTTTGGCTGGGACAGCATTAATTTTCTTCATAGTAGCTGGTACGGGGCCATGTTTTTGATTTTTGCAGGAAACAGTGCTGATTAGAGATGTTTTAGTTATTGCTGAGCAGCACTTACACAGAGACAGGGCCTCTTCTGCCTTTCACCAGCCATCAGCAGGAGATGCACAAAGAGGGGACGCAGCCAAGACAGCTGACCCCAACCGAGCACAGGGACACCCCAGACCATGGTGTCATGCTGATCACATAGAGCTGAGGGAAGAAGGAGGAACGGGGAAGTTTGGAATGGTGGCAGTTACGGTCCCAAGTTACTGCCAGGTGTGATGGAGCCCTGTTCTCCTGGGGATGGCTGAACAGCTGCCTGCCCATGGGAAATGATGTATGAATTCCTCACATTTGCAGTGAAGGCTTGAGCATTACCCTGGTTGCTATGTTCTGTGCTTATAAATTTAAGGCACTTAAACACTGTTTCCAGCACAAATTTAAAACATGTCCCAGTATTAGTTACTATGAAGAAAATTAACTTTACCTCTTCCAAAACCAGCTGTTATCAACAGAGTGAACAGTGCGCAGCAGTTACAAGTTGCTTTGTAAAGCATAAACTCATTCAGATGGGGAATACATCTGTAATCTGTGGTTTTTTGCACTGTACAACACAGCCAAGGACCAGGCTTTCACACAGTATAAACAAATCGGGAGCAGAATTTTGCTTCAAGTTTCTATTTTAGGCAATCTGGAAAAATCTC